ACACTTTGTTAGATATTTAGTTTTAGGCTGACTTGTCTTGGTGGGATAAGACGAGTGCTATCACACCCATTTTTGGGTCGTGACAATATTACAAACTTCCTGCCGATCAAAAAATATTTGGTTCTCTTTAGCTCTTATTTTCTTCATGCTTTTTAGATAACAAAATTAAGATACTTCATTAGGATTAGTAAGATAAACTCTAGCCCCCTCGCTTGTACTTGTTATAATTGATATTTTTTATATTTAATAAAAGGCTTAGAGCAAAAAACATCTGATCCTCGCATCTTCAATTTATTCACAGTATATCTCGGAAAAGTACTATACATGTGCCTCAATTGAAACCAGTCATGTTTCACATCGAATATGCACAAAGAGCATATTGAAAAATATATGGTCTTAATAATATGTAAATTTTATATGAGGATATTTCGTTGAGAAACTCAAATAAAATCATGTTTCAACTGAACATACACCTTAACTTCTAACAAAATGTGTAGTTTAATACTTTTAATTTAAATTTTGAAATTAGTTTTTGTGTTTTTATTTGTCATTAGATAATTAAGTTGATTATATAAAATATATTATTTCCTTTAATTATATTTACTCGCCTTAATAAAATGTAAAATCTAAAGAATTTCATTTGAGGTTGATGCGTAGACTTAAAAAAATGACGTATTTTATGTGATTAGCTTAACTATCGAATAGACAGATGAAGTTACGCACAATTTTTTTCTTTCAAAAATTAAATTGAATATGTTTAATATGAAAACTTTGTAGGAGTTTTGATGTGCAATTACAACAAAACTTAATTGGAGTGTCATAATTTTTCCTTAATATATTCTGATAAGATTAAAAGGCTGACAATGCATTATATATGCCAAATATGTTATAAAAGAAAAACAATCTTCATATTGAAAGGAATATTTCAGTTTACAATTATAAGCTTGATTCATCATTTGTTAAAAGTTTACTGACCATATATATCCATCTAAACTTTAAAAGCAGCAAGAGAAAACACATCCCTTTATTTATTTTATCATATTTTTAGCATATCTTTGTTATTAGGGGCGGACTCATGAAAGTTTTAGATATATTCAAATTTTTTTGGTACAAAATTTCAATATATAATAAAATTAATTTTTTTATAATTATGTAGATATATTAATTTTGATTCCTCTTACAAAGAAGAAGCAAACTGTAGCACGCGTACTGTTGATCTCCTTTTAAATTGACCGACCAATCTTTTACATTTTTTTTTTGTTATTTAGAAAAAAAAATGTGCTAAAATGTAGATTTAAAGCAAAAAAAAAGTCCAAACGTGAAAGAAAATTCAAATATGATAAAAGGTCTCCCGTAATGGAATTAACTTTTTGTACTTATAAACTATATATTACTACTTTCTTGAAATTGTGTTTTGTTGACTTATTCACTAGTTTATATTTTTATTTTTCTAACTCCCTAAATGAAAATTCTGAATCCGCCACAGCTTGTTGAGTAATTTCCCTAAATAGTCACCCATGTTTGAAAAATTACCTAGGAATATCGATCACTTATGTTTGTTTTAGGACTATAATATCACTCAACTTTACCTATTTTTCTCAAACTATACTTGACACAAAAAAATATATTATTTCTCTCCTACTATGGTGTCATGTCACATTTTTTAAAGTATTTTTTTGTGTCAAGTATAGTTTGAGAAAAATAGATAAAGTTGAGTGATATTATAGTCCTAAAACAAACATAAGTGATAAATCTAGATAATTTCTCAAGGGTGACTATCCAGAAAAATTATTCCAGCTTGTTGTGATATCACGTGGAAGTATTATGACTACTTCATCTACAATTACGTTATTACTTAGAAAATTCTGAATTATATTCCCATATAAATATATTCTCATAGTTAATAAGATGTTATCTCACACAGATTGAGTATGGATTACAACGTGGGTATTCATTTTTAGTTAGTTTCTATTTTTCTTGTTCCATTTTCGAAATCTTTTAAACTAGTAATTAATGGAGGGAGAATCAGATCGAAGATCTAGTTCTTTAGTATATTTTATTCTGATCCCTTTTAAAGTATTTTCATTTTTTTACTAAATAAAGTAGAGATAACAAGTGTAACAAATAATCATAAAATAGTACACGTTTAATTTTAAGGAACAATATAATTAATTAATATTAGAGGGGACATGACGAGTACAAGAGCAGACAGAATTCAAATGATTCCTTCCGTAGGTAATTAATACTAAATAAACTCAGCGTTTAAAATTTAATTGGACAAAGAAATTAAATATACAACTTGAAAATTAAATATTTTAAAAGGCAGGTTCCAAGGCAAATTATTTGCACTTTTCTAGTCTGCTTATTGACGTTTGTTACTTCGATGAAGTGTTAGGTTTTGCTCCTGCATGAACATATAGAGAAAAATAGTTAGCTACATAAAATTTGGATATATTCAATGATGTCGGTGTATAATCATGTTCGAATCAATTTATGTGTGTGCACAACAATTATTTAAATATAGATATATTATAGTACTTTGTAAAATAAATACAGTACTAAGTTTATATGAACCTAAACATCAAAAGTAGATTACATTTCATGTCCCATGGTGTCCCTATTAGGATGCTCGTGTTAGGAATATGTTATACGTAGATATGTTCCTTATTGTGAAGGTGACCCCTCAACCTAACCCTACTACCCCCCACCACTGTTTTTTGTTGAATTAATTGAGTGATGTGTGATAGAAGCCTTATTGTTTTTACATTTAGACAAAACTAACTTTTTTTTTAATTAGATTATGACATCACTTTATAAAGCACTAGTATCTTTTAATATTAGTCATAACTTGCATGGTTTAAGGTAATGTGGAATACCACATACATTTTTTTGGTTATATAGTGACATGTGTATAACTTAAATTCGTTAATAATATGAATAGAAGATAGATTGATGGAGCATACATACCTTTAGTAAAAATAATGTTAATCAGAGGTGGAATTATGGGATCCTCCAGTAGTTTTGTATTTGGGGAAGGGCACCATACCATTGTCAATAAAGAAAACATCCCTCAAAAGGATTTCATAGTGTCTTTTCACTTCTTCTGCTGTTTTGCCTCCAACTGCTTTAGCAACATTGGACCAACGATCGCGAGTTTCCTTGTCATACACAGCCAATGCCTTCTCAAACGCCTTGTTTTGTTTCGCAGTCCATGATCCAGAAGAACCATGTTGAGACGACATCGAGCTCATGATGATCTTTTGTTAAGTATCACAAGTTGTGAAAAATGTAGAAAAAGAGATACAAAGAAGAAGAGAGTACTAAGCAGAGTTCGTTTGTTGTGAAAACAGAGTTGGCAAAGGGTTGTTTATAAAGGGAGGGAAAATGCACCTACTAGGGTGTGGTATCAATTATCATAGTCAATAAAGTTAAGTAAAAATCTTTGGAGATCATATATTTACCTAGTGGGAAATAGTAGTATATAGGTGAAATAGTCAAAGTGCAAACGGTGCCGTTATCAAGAAGAGGGAAAAGGGGGTGAATGTGGGCCCAAAAAATTATTGCAAAGAATTTTGGTGATTTGTATTCTTAGGAACCACAAGAGGAGATGGAGAAAGAACATTCACATAAATATGAGCATGAAGAATCAGTATCCCCAAACAATTTTTCAATTTTAATTACACCTCTTTCATTTCAAAGGAGCCACATAAATTAAAGTATACTCAAAATGTAATAAAGTTTTAATTACTAGTCCTTTAGACCACATATAGCATATAAATAAATAGTAACCTAACACTAATTGTGACTTATTCACATGGTTGTTTATGGGGATTGCTTAATAATTCTATTATTGTAATTAGATGGTAATCCTTTATGAATAAGTACACCACTTGTCAAAAAAATATCTATCACTTATTTATCTTTAAAATTTGAGATACAACAATCAAGAATCATTATCATTTTTTTTTTATTTATATATTCCAAGATATTGACTTGGAAAAGAGATGGGACCCAAATTCACTAGCCGTACAGCAGGAGCTTTCACGAGAGTGTCACAATGCTAGCTAGTTACAGAGTTCAGTCTGAAGAAGAGATTGCCAAAGTATCACTAGCATTTCTATGTTACTAATTTTGAGCCTTGGAGTAGAGTTTATCTTGATTTTAGAGGTGTCAAGTGATACTCTTTCGTTGGTTATTTTTCTTTTCGTTTAACTAGATATAAAGGAAAATGTACAAGTACCTCCTCAACTTATGTCTGAAATTTCAGAGACACACTTATACTATACTAAGGTCCTATTACCCCTGAACTTATTTTATAAGTAATTTTCTACCCCTTTTTAATCTACGTGACACTAGTTTGAAAAAAAAGTCAATCATCATTGGACCCACAAGATAGTGTCACGTAGGTCGAAAAGGGATAAATTTTTTTTAATAAAATAAGTTCAGGAGATAATAGAACCTTAGTATAGTATAAGTGTGTCTCTGAGATTTCAGACATAGGTTGAGGAGGTACTTGGGTATTATCTCCATATATTAATAATAAATGAAATGAAAATAAAAGGTAGAAACACTAAAAGGAAATAAAAAAAGATGTGTATTGGTTTGATTGATTGGTGATAGTACGTCACTTAATTAGAGCAATCAGATAGTTAGGAATCTTTCTGTCCTTAACTAAATATTTTGAACCGAAACTTTGAGAAGTAATATGTTCACATGAAGCATTTTGATACGTATGGTATTTAGGTATTAATTAATGTACCCATTGATTAAGGGTTATTAGTGTAATTGTATATGTATCAACTCTTTGATAAATATCACTCATATGAATTACGGGTTGCAAATGGGTTTTCAAAACAAAGAAAAAAACTAATGAATTAAACGCCATAAGGTTGTTATATTTGCTAAGTTTTTTCATCGACATTTTGAAATTTACTTTGATAATAATGCATTCAGTATTGTTGTCAAACCTACATCTATTTGAGTTGTTTTCTATATATTCTCACATCACGGGGATAGTTGTTAATAAACTTGATATCTCTAACGCGTTCTTGCATGATAAGCTAGAGTAAGATGTATACATGGTTTAACCATCTGTTTTTATTGAGCCTAATCACCTTGATTAGACATGTGGGCTAAAGAAACTATTTATGTCCTCTAAAATAAATGTTTGATTGGTGCCTTGGTTTCCAAGGCTATGAAATAATTATGAGTCTGATCTATATACATTGACATATAATTATAGTTTTCGATATATTTATGTATTTAGTTGCTTCATTATGAGTTTGATTTATACACGTTGATATATAATTATAGTCTTCGATATATCTATGTATTTAGTTGCTTCATTGCTTCAACATTGGGAGATTTATTTCCCCCTTGCGTAACTTGGACTAGCTTAATTACTTTTGAGACATCGAAGCTATATAGTTATTTGCATAGGTCTAAATGTACACATGATCTCTTGCAATGAAGTAACATGTTAACTTGTAATAATATTCTACCCCTAAGTGCCCTAGTAAATAATAAGTTGCACACAAATGACAACACTCAATTTCTTGAAGATGGTTTTTAATTATCGAAGTATTGTTGGTGGCTTGCAATATCAAACTTTTATTTCCTTTCCAGTTAATAAAGTCTCTGACAAACATTGCTTAGTAGTTAAAAATATATCTTGCGATATAAGAAACTTCTTCTCATGATATTTTCTTTCTAAATCAAAACTTTCATCACTTACAAGGATATATTGTGATATCGATTTTGGAGTAAGTATTGATGATCCAAAGTCTACTACTAATTTTGCAATTTACTTAAGTTCAACACTTGTTTCTTGGTATTCTTGTAAACAACAATTTATCTCATGCTCTACTATTGAGGTCAAATATCGCTCTCGCCTGTGAACTCCTACATATTAGTCTATTATTGTGAAAGAAATTAGTCTTTCTTATGGTATGTGCCTTTCTTATGGTGTGATAGTTGAAGTATGATTTATCTTATCGTTAACTCGAGGTTTCACTCTCGTACCAAATATTTAACAAGAATTAGATGATTTTTTAATTTTTTTTTGTGTATGTTAGCCTATGAATATTTTGGTAAAATGACTTTTTGGCTACCTTTTTGAAAGACCTTTAGGGCACCCTTGGAATGTGTTGGAGGTAGTGGCGGAGCCAGAATTTTCAATAATGGGGTTCAAAATTTGTAGAAATAGACACAACCGAAGGAGGTTCGACATCTACTATATATACATAAAATATTATTTTAATCATGTATAAATAGTATAATTTTCCGTCGAAGAGGGTTCAGATGAACCCCCTTGTACCAAGGTTGCTCCGTCCCTGGTTGGAGAAGCAATACGTATAGCCTCACCATGATCAACAACATATTTTGACATTCAAGGGCCATTTAATAGGAATTAGACAAATTTCTTGATTTTTCATCTGTGTTAGCCCTAAAATATTTTAGTGATATGACTTTTGGGCGATTTTTTTTCTAAAAAAAACTTTAAATACCTCCTACATGATCAATGAAAGTCATGTTGATTTCTCCTTTACACATTATACCTTATTAGAGGACATAATAGATTAACCGAGCAACCTGACGATTAATCTTTTTCTAAAAAAGAAATCTATTCTCTCTTTTATTTTCGTATAAGAAGCAGTGATGATCTTTGGGTACATACTTTTTTTGTAATATTGTGTACTAGTTGTAGGAAAATGACATTTCATCATAGACGAAGACAAGGTTAGGATTGAAAAATTTGGAGGTTTTAAATTTTTGGATAGTAGAGAAAAATATTGGAACATGCTTCCTTTTAAAAAGGAAAAGAAATTTTTTTTGATATAGCAGGGTTTGAACCCACAACGACGGTGTGAAAAACATTTTCATCACTCTTTTTGTACGATTAAGATGTCAATCAATTTTTTTTAGGGATTCACAAATTTATATATATATATATAATTTTCTAATACAAATAGAAAATATAGAAAAAAAATTAATAGGTCGTACAAACACATGAACACCACTTGCCTCCATATTTCATAATCGAAAAGCTGCCTACTTCTTGTCCATCCGTACAATGATTGTGTACTATGATGTTATCCTGTACCATATTTTTTAGCAATAGCTGTACAATCAAATCCAAACGTGGCATCTCTTTGATTGGCCTTTTGTATCATCCCTTAGCAATCACATAAACAAAATAATTATTTTCACATAGATATGGTCATTATGCTAATGATCTACAAGAAAAAAACAAATTAGTCATATTGTCTTTGACCAAATGGAGAGGATAATTACGATTGAAAGGATAAAATTTCTTCGATCTTAATTATTGATATCAATTTTAACTAAAAAAATCATAATATATAGGAAACAATTTCTTTAGGTTTAATATTGTGCAAACATGAATTAATTAGAACCTAGAATAGAATGTTAGACACCAAGTTAAATATAAATTCTAAGAACTATATTATTCTTATATTTTACATGAAGCTAAAATTTGTCAGAATTAAAAATCCACTAATTAACCAGGTGCATAAAATTAAAAGTAAGCTACCAAAATAAAAATAAAATCCATATACTCTCGTACTCTTACTAGTTACTACTATAATATGACCAAGGTGGATCAAGATTCTATCAACATGGGGTGCAGATGAACTTGTGATATAAGACAATCTTTAAATCCTATTTATCATTTAATTGAAATTCTTCCTTTTATGTTAAGAAGATTTAAATTCTTCACTTTTTTAAAAACTATTTGTGCAATATAATTTTTTACAAAGAAAATTCAATTAAATCATTTTCCTTTTATCTAATTTAGGTCCATTATGTATATACTAGACCCAGGGGTGGAGCCACCTCAGTATAAGGGGTTCTCAACTCCCTTCGGCGAAAATTTATATTATTGTACATGGTTAAAATATTTTTTATATATATAATAGATGTCAAATTCGTTCAGCTACTTTGTAAATTTATTTGTACACATTTGAAACCCCTTATTTTGTGAATTTATTTCTATAAATGTGAAATCCTTATTTAAAATCTTAGTTTCGCCACTGACTAGACTCATGATCCGGCCCTTCTTCGAACCACGTAGGTCAGTTTGGGCGTTTTTTTTTCTTTTTATGAAGTCAATGTCATTGACCATACTGTGAGTAATATAGCCAATCATTAAAAGAAGAAAGATAGGCATATGTAACTCTGAAAAGATGATGTTGAATTGAGTCAATTACCAATCATCAATGGACCTAAAATGATTTGCATTAATTGTGGAGGAGATAAATATTTGGCATAATATATGTAATATTTATGTCCTTTAATTTTAAATATATA